GCGCACAGTCGGAGATGAGATGCCGAAGGTCTTCTCGGTGAGGTCTTGAAGTCACTGGCAGGCGTCGTAACGAGCAGCTTTAAGAGATTGAGATTGGAACTCCTGCTGAACTTCTGCTCAAGCAAAAATGAAGACCCATCAAGATCCCATCAAGATCCAATGAGTTTGTCGTGTTAAGACCCCCTCGCCCTCTTTGGTTGCGGAAATAATGGGGGGAGTTGTGGTTGAGTCCTGCCATGGCCCTATAGTGTCCACATGAAAAAGAGTGGACATATCCTAAACAGAAAAGGTCGCAAAATGGTGGAAAGATTCAGGAAAAATAGATCCACGCCCGTCTTGTCGAAGCAGTTGGCCAATTCAACCAGCAATGTCACCTGGGGCATCGTGCTGATGACATGCACCAGCCTGAAAAAGGAAGGTGTTCCTTTTCGACATAAGCGATCTTGTTAGTACCAAACCACTGAGCTCCCATATACTGAATTGCATCGACGCTTTTCAAACCAACTGGTTTGCACTCACTTGTATCCTTGGAAATCAGGTGCTCTCCGGATGGATTGGAATTGTGCGGATTCCCCCGTAATTGAAACATGGTTTCTATACTTGATCGGTGGAATTTTCTCATCTACCGAGCCAATTCGATTTTGGGGTCTGTAGTTGTCCAGGGAGCGGAGGGGTTCATGGTTGAACCAGTCCGCCAAATCGTTGGCAGGTCCTAGTCGGAACACCCGGCAGGAGACCACAGAACTGGCAGCATCACCATTTTTGAAGTCAGGAGTCAGCATGAGAGAGTGGAATATAGTGGAATATCATATCTCTGCTATGCCCTGCTTCTTCGATGTTTGATTCCAAAGGAGGTGTTTGGATGATGTAGGTGTCGGCAGAAAAACACAACTGCCTTTCAGATGCAGCTGCTCGAAACAAAAAAGTGATGGTCTCGTGCTGCGCATGTGCTTACGCACAGAAGTTCCATGGGGGATCTCCGAAAGCGTGGGCTTCCATGTGCCCGGGCAGAGGGTTTTCGGGACCAGAACCAAGCCCCTCACAGCAGATCACATGCTTCCAACGAGTGAAGTCTCGGGTCGCCCATTCAAGCCCCCGAATCTACCCATTGGCCGTACCAAATCCAAGTTCATGTCCCAAGCACCGACTCTTGCAGCTCCTGCCACCGCGTCTTGGATTCGGCGAAGAGTGATCGCTGTGTGGCCGGCTGACTGGCCAGGTTCATGCTGCCGGAGTCGTCCAGGATGCACACGACCCTGAGTTTTCAGCGAGGCCTCACCCCCAAGCCCCGGTAGGAAAAAACACTCCATGGCCCATGTACGGATGATTTGAACCCATCTTCCCCAGGTCCACCCCGTTCAGGCGACCGTGTGAAAAAAACAATCAGCCCAGAACGCCATGGACGGACCCCTTGGAACCGCCGTCGCCGCGGCGACCAAGACGCTCATAGTCCTCTAAGATCACCAAGTCATTTGCCTGGGAAGGCCACGTCGGGAAGGTCCCGAATCCGGCAGGACATCCAACACAATTGATGATCGAGTTTGGCTGCACAACCAGAGTTTTGGCCCACAACCAAATACCTTGTGGACCCTGACTGTGCCAAACTGGAACACTCTGCAACAAGTTTTTTAATGCAATGCATGTCTTCAAATCCACTTGACGCCAAGCTTTTCTCATCAAGCATACTGGTAACTCGCCATTGGGAATGTGTTGCATGAAAGGCAGCACTGATGTGAGTGTATCTCAGAATGGACACATCCTCGACGAACTGGTTTAATTATATACAGTAGTATAGTCAGTCTATATCTTCCACGCCCCAGGAGCCGGGGTTTCATACTTCTTATCTCAAACACGTTCTGTGAATCAATCATGCGTTGTCCCCTTCCATGTCTCAGCTCATCCCACTCCCGCTTGGTCGCCTCGGCAATTGAGACCTCGAAGCCTGGAGCAAGCTTTTGTGTTTCAGATCCAGGCCGTGCCGAGGGGAAGTGCAGGAGTCTGCCCAGTAAGAAGCCACCAAAGAAAGAGTCACACAATTTTTTAAAGAACAACTGTTTTGGAATGTTTTGGATCAGGGATGATCGGAGGGTTTCAACCTGTTCTGCCTGTTTGGGGATGACACAACAGCCATGTCCGCCGCCTCTCGGACGCTATGGTCGACCTGGAAAAAAAGAACAGACCGGCGCAGGGTTCCGGGCTGTCACGGAGTGTCTTCGCCCCACCTTCGCCCCAACTCGCCCGGTGGGTCCCCCGCGTGAAAGCTCTGCATGGGACCTTTGACGGATCATGATGGATCCAACAAGGTTTAGATCGAAAGATTGCCGGCGATCGCCTTCAGACGCGAAAAGGCTCGGTGTTCAAAGCTCGCCCATCGTTCGGTCCAACCATCCATAGCAGGGGGACAAACCCTCAGGAGTCAGGCCAGAGTCAGGACTCGAAGAAACACCCTGTTGATTTGAGGGGTCTGGATTCCGGTGCCCAAATCTGCCCGCCGTGCTTGCGCCACGAAACGCGTCAAGATCTGCTGCAACTGTTGCAAGCGGGCAGGTGCTGGCGCTGCTCCCAACGGAGCGGAGGGAGGCCTTGCGTCGCCGCAAAGGGAAAGGCCAGAAGCGCCCAATGAAAGCACCGAAAGGACCCATCCGTTGGGGCTTGGACGACATGGTCACCAAAATTGTGCACCTTTGGAATCGGGGTGTTCATGGAAACAGGGGTTGAAATGTTTTGAACAGGTTGTTGATCACTGAGAACACCCTCTGGAAAATAGGATGAATGATGCTGAGCAACCTCACACCTGAACATGAAAGTGGAATGCTATACCAAACAAATTGTGTTCCTGTCAATTAAGGTGAGGTATCCGCATACAACATGTTTGTTCACAAATTCAACGTATACATGGACATTATGTACCGTGAAACGCATGAATGACCGTTGTTGTTACCACCTGCTAGTTTGGGTGTAGCGATTCAATCACATGAGACATCGGACATCAAATACTTCTTGCATGAAGGTTCATGGAGCTGTTACAACGAGAAACCCGTGCGACTTGCAAGCCCCTTTTTGCACAATTATCCACTCACTTGCGGTCAAAATTAAACTTCCATTCCGATTACTTTTGTTCCTCAAATAGGGTGTGGTCCCACTAAGGGTTCCAATGTCAATAGTTAAGGCTGGGTGTTTGATCGGTGGCACTGGTGTCCGGCTAATTCGCTGCTATTTGCAGTGTTCTCGAGATAGTGCATTTTGACTGCACAGGCTTGCAAAATCTGCTAGGCCCCGAGCAGGGGCATTCCTGGACTACCCTCCCCGTGCGCGTTTTCGGACTTTGTGCTTTTCATGGCAGGTGCATTGAATCGCAACCTTGGGACATGTGGCTCGTTTTCAGAAATGAGAAGTCTCAAGCTTTGCATTTTGGCATCTTGATGCTGGTTTGGAAACGCTCTTGCTGCGAAACGCCTTGGCAAAGCAGCGCGATGCAAATCTTGATGTGCAGGTTTCGTGGCAGGCGTTAGCATTATGTGCTCTCATGCGTGTGTTCTCATATGTGTGCCATTTTCTGGTGCTCAGAGATCTTGCTAGAGTGATCCTGCAAATAGTGATCTGGTCCATGTATCTTCTGCAAGTACTCCGCCTTGAGATCTAGATCTCTAGACTAGACCTCTCCCATTGTAAGGTCAAACTCATGGTATATAAGGTCAAACAAAGCAGATCAGTAGGGTCTGGATCTTTGGCCTCTAGACCTCTAGCTCTCTCTAAGCCACATCTCTAGACCTTGAGACCTCTACCTTTCTAGACTCAAAACCTCTGGACCTCTAGATCTCAAGGCCTCTAGATCTAGAGACCTCTACATCTCTAGGCCTCCAGAACTCTAGATCTCAAGACCTCTCTGGAACTCAAGAGCTCTAGACCTGCAGATCTCTTGATCTTTCTGGATGTAAACACTTCTAGACCTCCAGATCTCTAGATCTCTCTGGTTAAATTCTAGGCCTTCTGCTTCTACACCTCTAGACCTCAGACCTCTAGATCTCAAGGTCTTTGACATGAAACTCTGGACAAGTGTGAGTGCTTCTTGCGCACACTTCTCATGCAACATCATGCAACAATGTTTGGAGTTTCTTGCTGCGAAAATGGCAGGAGAGCCTGCGCCCCGGCTCCAAACGACCGCATCGGACCCTCTGCCCTTTTAACCACGCCAACTGGATCACAAGGTCGAAACAGCTCCACAGCCGACGTCGACAAGGGATCCGCGTAGAACGTTTACACGCACACATACACACACACTCACACTGGGTGTTTCTCAAAATAGGTGACCCTCCGAATCATGGGATTCCCTGTGTCCTACAACGTCCCTTTAAAGATCCTTTTTGGGATCATTTGAAATTTGCGGGAACCCTCAAAATCTTTGACGCTTCTAGAATCAGCTGGTTCCAATCCAGGTTGCCCTTGCCGCAACGTGGAGGGCATCGGAGCGTTGGACATGTTGTTGGAAGCCATGGCGCACATCGTGACGCCCGTTGACACGTCACGGCCGAAGCTTTCAAGAATCTTTAAGAGTGTACTTTGACACTTGGGCCACAACTGCCTTACTTCGGACGATGGGCAACTGACTCAGCTAATGATACAAGCTTGTGCTTTATTCCTGCAAGAAAAGACCAAGACTGGCGAATGCTTAGCATAAGATGCTGGCCTCGTGTTGGCTTGAGCTTTTCTGGTGGAACAAGGAGAGTTCATCCTACCCTGCCACTTCCATTTTCCGTCAACACTTACCTAACCGTCAACACTTACCTAACAACACTAAACGATTTGTGGTTTTGAGGTTATAGATTATATACCCTCAGCTTCAAAAGGCTATTTAAAAAATGGTCGGTTCATGAAGTACTATTTTGGAAATGGTACTTATGGTTCACGGGATTCACGGTGGCATGTTTGCATGACCCTCCACACAGCCACATCTCCAACTTTTCATGCGCGGCCCTTGGCAAATCTTGCAGCCACCGATCTGTTCAGCCTTGGCCATTCAAGGGCGGGAAGGTGTACTACAAACCCTTTTGAAAATATCATTGCAAGAGTTGATCATCGAACGAAACGAATCAGCACAAGTTCAAAACAACCTCCACGGTGAGAGAAAGGTTTCTAGGCGAGAAGCATTTTCACCTTCATCTTCGTTGCAGCGATCCTTATATCAACTAGTTGGCTCAGTGCACCACAAAACTTGATCAAATGAGTCAAAAGCTCTTCGATCCAACTCCTCCTACTCCACTCCTGTATAGAACTTGGCATGCATGCATGTCAAACAGGTTGCACAGGTCAGATGCTACAGGCTACTAGGAGTTGGAAAAACCAGCGGACTAGTATGATATCAATTGAAGAAAGGATCCGGAGCCGGCCACATCGAACTATCCAGCGGATTCTGTGAAGAGCGTGCGCTCGTCCATAGGTGCCTGGGTCCAGAAGTTCCGGCAAGCTCGAGGATGGACCCACCAATCAAACAAGCAATTATACACGACAGTACATGCTAGTGGGTGTCTTTCAACAGTCTATTTTTTATGTTTCTTTTCGCAGAGTGGCTTTTCACCCAAGACATCGCATCTTCATCTGCGAAGCAATGATAATACCTGGGGTTCGATCCTCAATTCGTACTGGCCAAAAACAAACCAATTCAGGCCAGGGCCATGAACAAGAATATTGCATAGCACGCACGGTCCATGTAAAGGTTATTGCCAAGGCTCTGCACGTCATGATTGATCTGCAAATATGCATAAAGGCCTAGCTAGGAAGGTAGGATGGATTACAATGGGTTGGAACCACAACACTAAAAACGTCTGCCGAGACACGTGAAGTTTCGGGCGAACAAACCATTCTTGGCGATTTTGCCTTGTTGGGTTGCACACAACAGCAGGATCAGTGGATTCAACACATTATTATGCTCTAGCAGCTAGAAACATTCAAACGTCATTGTTGTTTAAAGTTTTATTGCATGATGAAGAAACATGCAGTATAAACATGCCGGTAAAAAGGCCTCAATGAAATTCTTGCCAATCTCAGCCAATATCCAACAAAGGATGTACCATGGTGGAAGGCTTCCCGGGCTTCAGCTTCAGTCCTCAAAAATATCCAAATTAGAGTGATTTATATTAGTTGATCCCTTTAGGATTGGCTGTCTAACCTGTACAAGCTAGCTATATTAGTAATTCGTAACTGACCCACATTTTGTTCAACTCATGTGTGCGCTTGCGTGGCGCTGCTGGCAAGCTTCATGAAGCGACTGGCGGCCTCAACGCAATGCACAAATCGGCTGAGATGCAACCTGGTCTGGACAGGGAGGTTCGGACGGAAAGCACAGTCGAAGGATGTCGAAGGCAAACCTGGTGAGATGAAAGCGATCGTGATCATGATCATGAGTGCGCACAGCACACCGTGCATGGGTTTATAATTTATAGAATATAGGATCAGCAAATAGCAGCATCGCCCGCATATACATGTTAATTCTGAAGAAGTTCTGTAATCAAATCCCAGACGACATAACTGAGCAGTGGGGGCTGCATGCAGTGCATGGCTGGGCAGAACCCACGAGCATATTAAGTCGATCAACAGTTGATATAAATGCACTAATTACTTCTCGGAAATGGAGCCGTTGTGTGTGTGGCAGGCGTTAGTCAGGAACATGCACCTGTTGCAAACATGGCGCATTGCGAGTGCAATGATGGGCGTCCTGGGATCCACAGCTGCAAACTGCTCAGGCAAAGCAGCAACGACTTCCGTAAGCCATTGCATAATGCATCGTCCATTGTAAGCCTTCGCGATCAACAGCACATCCCCGTTCTTTTGATACAACTTGGTGCGGGCCGGTGGCATCTATTGCGTACAGTGACTGGTAAGATTGCGCACATTGACTTGGCATGGATGCCAATTTGAACGCTGATTCACAGGTCTGCCAAGTTGCAAGCTTCTCCTGGAATGCCGGCTGACTGCAGTAGATCCCTTTAGCGCTGCAAAATTGCTTGAAGTTGATGTATGCCCGGTGAAGTAGGACACGCTTGGAGTCGACATTTGGGTCACCAAACATGCCAGAATGAAGGAGGAGGTTCCTGAGCTCATGAGCCGAGCCGAAGATATTCTGCCCAACTGCGATCGAAACCGGACTTATGAAGAACACATTGCAGAACTCCACAGCTGCAAGTGAAACAAAAAAGGCCTCGTACATGCAAGTTACAAAGTCCCGCCATTACAGCCATAAAGTATTCCTAGATGCAGTACATGCATCAGGCACCACCGTATACACGATGGATCAAAACCACGGATAGTCAGGAGAGGACCTAATCAACAAATTGCAGCAAAACGCAAATGCACAATAATGTGTCCTTGATGGTGCAGGACCGTTGCACATACATCATGGATCACATGAAAATCAATGATAAGAATGAATGAACCATGAGTGGATGCATGAATGCATGCTCCTGGGAGCATGCGTGCGTGCAGGAGTTCATTTATGATGGACCATTGGCCAGCATGCTAGAAGGCATGGAAGGCATGAACCTGCATTCCAAGTAACAAACAAGTCGGGAAGGGATGCGGTTCGCAATGAATGCCGTGAGATTGAACTCCCTGTGGTTGTTGGATTCGATGTTCCAGTACACCTCCCGCCAGTCCCCTGAAATGCCCTTAGCATCACACAGGTGGCAGACATATTCTGCATTCCACTGCGTTCTCCAAAATCTCCAAATCTTCTTGTGCCAGCCCCAGTCTCCCCTGAACTCTGTCACCTGGAATCGATCCATTCTAGATGTCAAAGCCAACCCGGCTTTGCGCGCCGCTTCCCCAGTCATTGGCTCTCCATGCACACCAGCATCGGGAAACCTGCCAGAAAAAGCATGGTTGCAGCTCCACGCGATTCTCCTCAAGAACGCCTGCAAGGCTTGGTTGGTGAGCCGTTCCTCTGGGATAGCGAATATCAAGAACCTGCTCCATCGAACTGATGAAGGCCTCCACAGTATCACGTTGCAAAACATTGCAAGCGCGTTCTCGCTTCCAAACTTGGTTGTCATTTTGGCGGAATCACCGTATATTCCGATCGGCACCATCTGCTCAGATTCCACATTCTGAGCCCATTTCTCTCCGTGCTCTTTCGAGGTTCTCCAATACTTTAGCCGCTCCGAGTTGGGAACTAGAATCTTTCCAGCTCCCACTAGAAAACTCATGGTTTCATGCACATCAATGATGGGCCATGGCTCCGAGCGAATAACAATTCTGCCATTCCCATCCTTGTACTTCACTGGGATATTCAAGTAGCTTACTTCCTGATTTGTGACCGCCATTGTGCAAAGAAACAAGGTCGATCTAGCGAAGATCGAGGTTTCCGAGTTGAAGCTGGATGCAGTTCGTGTGTACTACAGTAAATGCTGCACGGATGATCTCAGCACATGCACATGCATGGATTCATTTAACTCAACCAAGAAACATGGAACGTTCGATCATAGAAAAATTTTATAAATAATTCATTACGACCTTCTGGCACAGACTGGACCCAAGGCATTAGGAGATGTATAATATAGCTGAGTTCTATATAACATCGAGAACGGTTCCCGGATCAAGTAAATTTTGCTAAACCAGAATATGGCATTTGATCCAAGAGTCTGGACCATCATCCAAGAGTCGCCACCAATCTCTCGAATCATTGTGGTTCGACAGGAGCCCGAGTTTCTTGGTAAGTGGATGCAAGCGGTGCCCTCCAGAATCCTCAGCGCACAGGTTGGCCCCACATTGTTTCAATCCTTGTTGTGCAGAGTGTTGATAACGTTGTTTGCTGAGACCTGTAGGTTCTAGAGGGCTTGTCTTTCAGGAAACAAGGTGAGTCATGACCAATCGGACATGGGCCATGTTGACAAACATACACCGAAGGGATCAAAACAGTATTGTGGGGATCAGGGCGGAAACGTTGGCCAAGGATCTGACACATGAGCTCGGATGTTCCGCATCGCTTTGCCAACAGTGCTCCCCTCAGTTGCACCGGGTAGTAGGTGGCTGGGTTGGCAGGCATGTGGGACAGCGATTGGTTGGAGAAGATGCGAACTGTTCACGCCATGTCCTATGAGATCTCTTTCAAAAACCAAGTACTTATGAAAAGGAACTGTACTCCAGTGAGCAGGTAATGGGCACTATATTGACAGCCCAATACTATATTACAACTATACTAGTCTGATCTTGATCAAGATGAAGCCTGTACTTGTGTCCAAGTAACGCCACTGCACACATCCTGGATAGCGTTGGTGAGGACAGAGGAGGGGATTGCTTCGGCAGCCCCGGTTGATTTTTCATCGTCACTCTGTAGGCCTGCGTGGCGGGTTGGGCGGTATATTCTTGTTCAACGCTCCCCCTTCCGTTACCCTTCAATCCAGATCTCACAGATTATGGATTACAGCAATTAAACGGACACGCATGCATGCAGGCAATGCATGATTTTCACAAGAGATGTGGACTCGCAGATCTTAAGAGATCCGGCTGCTTCGAAGATAAGAGACAAGCGGCATCACTCAATGGCGCAAAGCAAAATCCCGGCACTGGATCAAGTATAGATCTTCTAGGCTGGGAAACATGTTGGCACACCAACAAGGTGCATAGAACGAGTGACTAGACCTGGCCGGCTTCTTCCCCTAAGAGCTAGGTGCCCCAATCAAGCTTTCCAAGTCGACACTGCAAACATATTAGCCAAGCTAGGGGGCAAAACACATGGAACCTGATATGAGTTCATGAGCATGCGGAAGACAAAAGCGTCTAGCTCTTCCCCATGAGATGCCTGGCCCTGCCTACTAACACTCATATGTGCCACATGAATTTTGGTGGCCTCCTCAAAACCAATCTCAGACCCAAGATTCACTTAGCCAAGTTCACGCGGATCAGAAGGTCTTTGTACTCTGAGATCAACGTCTTGGCCGTCTCACAAAGCGGATCAAGCTTCTCCACCTTAAATCGACGTAGTAAGTGTGGAAGCTGGACAGTGTTCATGTTTGCTGGGAAAGGGTCGTTCACCAACACATGACACCCATGCATGATATCAATGGAAGTTCTTGATACCCCATATTCCAAGACGGGCTTTGAACACAAATTTGCAAATATCTCTTTTCTGGTGGGATATCTAGGTCAAACCAAGTTTGCAGACTTGTAATTCACGTGTGTGTGTGTGGGCTGCTTGCACCCACATTGAAGGGCATGCATATGGACTAATCACTAGATCAGAATACCAGTGAATTAAGCCAAGCTACATTGTCAATGTTTGTCTGAATCTGGCCCCTCAAATCACACAGCGCGTTCTTCTTCTTCGAGAGCTGGTTCCAAATCGCCTTCTTGAGCTCAGGTGACCTAAGCCAGTCCATGCCCAACCACTTGCTCCCGGGTCACGCACGGGCGGCTGTTGGGGGGAGTGCTGGGTTGAAGATCCCGGGCGCTTAGTGATAGAACGTTGAGATCGCTTCACCTGGTCATTTGATTGAGGTAGTGCCCCCCAACAAAACATCCAGGCCACAAAAACCTGATGTTGGATTCATCATTCATTCTCTTCTTGAAAGATCGGGTTCCACAGAACATTTGATTTTAAACTATTACACACAATCTGGAATCCGACTGGTGATGATGAGGATTGGGACAATGTATTGAAACAACATTGGAGGCCGAGGGATCATCTCACGACGGGCCTGACAGCTTGTTTTATATTAATGGTTTATTGTTTTTAGTGGTTTAAACTCAGGAATCCCCAAAGCCCTTGTGCACTGTGCCTTTCTTGCCTGTTTGATTAGCATTGAACGCGCCTTCTTCGTTTGGTATGCTGTCAAGGGCATGTGCCTGATATCACATATAAAACAATATACTGTAGGCATTTTATATGTAAGAGAGAATCCACTCCCAGGAGATGAGTTATATAATATAATCAATATACTTGCAAGTGCCATGGCATGGGTGTCCTTTTGGGGGCCTCTTAACACCGAAGCATGTCTTGGACTAAATCCTGATATTTCACGCTCGCATGTTCACGAATACCATGTAGTCCCCATTCAATCTCACAGGACATTCATCATGTAAAGCTTGCAGGACGAATGGTCTGTTTAAATGGCCGGCCCCATCAACTTGAACCCGTAATTTGTCGACCTGATTGGATATATTGATTGGTTGTGATTTCCAGTGACCTTCATGAAATAGAGGTTTCAACACTGCCATTTGTTTGAGCACATGCGTGCACTGACTGCACCCTATGTTTTTTTGTGGCTAAACCGGTGAGAAAACACTCAAACTGCACACATCATGCGTGAAGAGTGATCACACACACACTCCATTGTTCTCTATGTTCGGGTCTTGACATGTCCACACGTGCGCCGATCTAAGGATCCTGGCATGGCGCTGACAATCTTTTCCTTGCTGCAAGCATCCACGATCTTGTCGTTCAAGGTGCTCAGGGTCTGTGGCGGGCGGAGCAAACATGTCAGTAATAAGTAATATATAACAACGTTTCATAACGTTTCATATTTGTGACGTGATGTGTGCATGGTCACCTCAACTCCTGGATGGACCTTCGCGTGTACATGATACAATTGATGAATTCGTGATACAATACATATGACTCACGAACAGCTTGCAAAATGCAGATCAGTTTTATAGGGAACATGAATACCCGGTTCGGTTGCATGAACGATGCGTTGATCGCAGTCTGGCTGAATGAACGTTTATAATTCCCTGTGAAATGATTTGCGCAATGCCTTCTTGCCCTTGTTCAAGACTTCCTTCTCTGCTTTTGCTTTCTCTCGTGCTTCTTCTTTCTCCATTTGCTCCTTTTCCTTCTGAAGGCGTTCCTTCTTCCTCTCCGAACTCTCCTTCTTCTTGCTTTTGCCGCCCTTCTTGCCTCTCTTCTTGCCGCGCTTGCCTCCCTTCTTCCCCTTCCGCTTCTTCTTGCCCTGCCCAGCTTGGCCAGGGGTCCGGGGTGGTGCTCATGTCGTGAAATGTTGTTGTTCATGTAGTATAGATCGATGAGGTCAGTCTGTTACAACTGCTAGCTGCTCTAACAATAAAAACATGTTGACGGGCGCAAGCCTTCTCCTCAGAGACCGAAGAGCTAGACTCTTCAGAAGACTCACTGCTACTGGACCGCTTTCGCTTCTTCTTGGATTTCTTGTTCTTTTTGGCACTCTTCTTGTCACCCTCACTGGCATCGTCAGACTCCAGACCATCGTCAATGGATTCGAAGAGAGACTCCACCACATGGTCCGTTTGCTCAGCAATGACATCGCTGTCCCACACGAGGAAGAGTCTCATTTCCTGCAAGGAACAATACTACCCATAAATCGGAGATCTATCGCACTGGCTGTGCGACACGTGCCTTGTACAATATTATAATAATGATATGATCTGAGAACAAATTAAGCTATGTGTCATGTTATGTATCGATCATTCTTGAAAACTCAAGTACTGGGTCATCCACAGCCACGTAGCAACATACAACTTAATAAGATTCTTCCATGGACGGATTGAATGTCTTGTGCAAGAGCTTTCTATATCTGGAAGAATAGTTGGATGTCCAAATGCTGGACAGCTTCCTGATCCATGTAAGTTCTAATTCTGGCATGTGGTTTCAGCAATGAGCGTTTGAAGAGTGCTAATTACCATGTGATGAGTGATTGGTGCACTGCTGTTCAAAAACAATTGCACTGAAGCGCCCACTCCTCTGACGGGTCATCGGGATGAAGTTTTGTTTGAGTCCGGAAGAGCTCCGGATCGCTCCGCTTCTGCTCGCAAATTCGGGATGCTATGAGCTCGCTTTTGTACTTCTCAGCAATTTGGTGCTGGGTGAGCCACACCCGCGCACCGCGCTGGCTCATAGACCGTTTCTCCATGACACGCTGGTAGAAGGCACTTTTTGTCCATGCCCCCTGGCAACTAAGCCATTCATCCATGAGGATCTGTAGTTTTTCCGTGCCTTGGGTATACATGGTCCGAGAGTGTTTACTACTACGACGTTTGAGATTAGAGCTCGATCGATCTTTGTGTTCCAACAATAAATCTATATTTTCTAGATATATCAGTTTGCCTGGCCATCTCGATCAAAGACAGATCTAAGTTTCAGCAAGACACAGTACTTCGACGACGCCCCAGCTTTTCGAATGGCTTCTGGTGTGAATTTGCCTGGGCCATGCGTCATAGTCCCCACAAGCCAGATTCCAGCAAAAATTGCGCACCAGTTTAGGTTTTCAAGTGCACACGTGCGATACTAATGAATGAAGGTGATTGGCTCTAAGAGAGTGGTTGTTCAACATATTGGTCGCTGGATTCTAGTCACCATTTCGATGATTTCCATGTAACATCAATGCCCAAGAAACTACTAAATTGGTAACAATCTGATCTACTTGATGGACATGTAGTGTGGTGGGCTCTCTATACTATCCAACGACGAAGGCATTTGAGAAAACCGCCACAGTTGCTTCGAAGCCGAGATGCTGGAAAGACTTCTCGAGAAGCGCATATACCTCGCGTGAGCTGCTTTTTGTTCTGGCGTCTTTTCTTTCTTCTTCTTGGGTTCCTTATCCTTGCCTTCCACAGTACTGACAGTACTGGGTGCATCCTTCTTGGTCTTGCCCATCTCCTCCTTTTCCTTCTCTTCATGACCCGGTTCTGCTGGTTCCTCCTCCTCTTCCTCTTCTTCATTATATTCTTCATCATCATCACCGTCAGGTTCATCATGTTCCGATCCCGCCGGCTCACTCGGCGTCGTCCCATCCTTTTGTTGTGTCTTCTGTTGGTCCGTATCCGCTTCCATCATATCAGCTGCAGCTGACGGTTCCTCTGCTTGACTGTCATGCAGAGGGCTGGGCAAATCTCCATTTGTTTGCGGTTCCACAGGCGGGCACGCAGAGGGAGTTTGCTGAACAGACGAACACGCCCGCCTGAAACTGTCTGAGTGGGATCGCTTGACCGCTTCTGCATGGGTGATAGGTTCTCCCTTGACCCGCTGCCTGACACTGGGCGTGGTAGATTCTTCAGCTTTCACTTGCGCCTTTGGCTTGGGAGCTGCTTTTGACGCAGTAGGCTTGTTGGACGATGGTTCTGACCTGGAACATGACCCATCCTTCGTGCCACTGCTCACATTTGCAGCTTCATTGTTTTCCTCAGTTGAGGTGGTCTTGGCATCAGTCAGCTGAGCTGGGACATCAGCAGGGGGCATGTCAGTGTCACCCACAGATTCGGTTGGGGCTGCACCGTTCTCTTGGCCACCATGGCCAGACACCCCATTGGAGGTATGCAAAGCAGCTTCATTGCCAAGCGGAGCTGGACATGGTTCTGAAGCCGTGGGGCCTTTCACGGCCGTTGCTTGCTTCTTCTTCTTGTTGGACCTCTTGCATTTCTTCTTTTGGGACCTGGAGATAGGCACTGATGCAGTGAGTGAAGCCGCTGCCTCACCACATGAAGGTGCCTGCATTCCGGCACAAGCTTCCTTTGGCGCTGATGGATTACTCAGGGGCATAGTGTCCCTACGCCGGATCTTGTCCGGCGGTGTAGCCACCACTTCAGGCACCACTGGAACACCATCTACACGGACAACTGGTCCCTGATGCGTTCTCTCTGCCATGCGACGGGCCTCGGCACAACCCCGCCGAGCATTTTCTCTGGCCGCTTCATCCGTGG